GAGGTGCACGGCCTTCTGCAGGTGGGAGCTGTGGAGGAAGTCCCCCTAAATTTCAGGGGTAAGAGGTTTTACTCCTGTTATTTTTTTTAATCCCAAAGGCCAAGGGGAGTCTAAGACCCATCCTGGACATGCGAGATCTCAACAAATATCTCAGGAAGTCGATGTTCTATATCAACAGGCAGGGGGGAGCTTGCTGCTCGGCCATCTGTCAGGAAGCACTTTGCCTATGGGACTTTTGCATCCAGTGCGTGATCTGTCTGGAAGCTTCACATCTCCCTGGTGTCTGGAACGTGCTGGTGGATTTCCTCAGCAGGTCCTATTTCTCTCACCACGAGTGGTCGCTCCACTCAGAGGTCACCTGGGTGCTCTTCCAGAAGTGGGGTGAGGGGGGCCTCCCCGGGTGGACCTGTTTTGCCACCAGACAGAACAGGAAGTGCCATCAGTTCTGCTCTCTCCAATGCCTCGGCAGGGATGTCCTTTCCAATGCCTTTTTCCTGTCATGGGCGGGAGATTTGATGTATGCTTTCCTGCCGATTCCGTTGATCAGCGAGGTCCTATTGAAAAATCAAAAAATGCAAGTCATTATGATCACCGCAGCGTGGCCTTGCTAGCACTGGTTTGGCATGCTCATGGATCTGGCCATGGCTGCACCATGGTCATTGCCCAGCTGCATGATACCACAGTCGGCTCCTGCACCCAAACCTTCCCTCGCTTCGTCTCACGGCTTGGCTGCTGAGTGGCTGAACCCAGAGGAACAGGCCTGCTCTAGCCAGGTACAGCAGGTTCTCTTGAAAGCAGAAAGCCCTCCACCAGAGTGACTCACCAGGTTCTCCTGCTGGGCATTGGCATGTAGCATGTCTCCAATCAGCGTTCCTTCTAATTGTTTCCACGCATGTGCGGAATGAATTTTGTTATGTGCACCATATCAAGGTAACGTGCAGATGTTCGCCACCAGTAGAAACCAAAAACTTAGATATAATATATATTTTTAAAAGTTACCATAGGGATAATTACTCCAGCCAGGACAGGTAAAGTCATTTTAGAACTCACTGCTCAAAGAATTAAATTTAAGCGTAAGAAAGAAATAAAAATTATGAAATGCATAGACCAATCAAAAACTAAAACACACTGTGAAAGAAGTATCAAGAGGTAACAACAGCAACAACAATACAAGTGTGTGTGCGTGTGTGTGTGTGTGGGGGGGCATTGCTCCTTTAAGTATGCTGCCCCCACTTTAAGTACGCTGCCTTTTAAAGTAGATCAGCACGTGTTCAGACACAGCAGCTGCAAGCAAGCTCCCTCTGTCTTGAGCCCTGTTGTGTCCCCCCTCCTCTGCTCTGTGGAGATGGGATACAGGGGCGGGAGGAGAGGGACACTCTGACATCAGTGTTCCCCTTTCTCCCTTTGCACAGCAAGAAGGAGGCTCCCAGAACAGCTCCAAGGCAGAGGGCAGGAGCAGTAGGGCAATGTGGGGAGGGACACCTGAAGTGTGTGGCACTTGATAGCCTGCTGGATGGCCACCCAGCCGTGCAGTTTAGGCGGGAATTTAGTTCCCAACCCGGATTACTTGCTCCACCTAAAGCACCAAGGCATTGCGCTTTCGTCCATCAGAGTGCACTGGGCAGCCATATCAGCCTTCCACCCGCGCGTCCAGGGCCAATCAGTGTTCTCGCATGGGATGTCGATGAGGTTCCTAAAGGGCCTTGAAAGGTTCTTCCTGCCGATCCGGGATCTGGTTCCCCAATGGGACCTCAACCTGCTCCTCTCTAGGCTAATGGGCCCGCCCTTCAAGCCTACGGCTTCTTGTTCCATCTCCCATCTGTTGTGGAAAGTTGAGTTCCTTGTAGCCATTACCTTGGTGAGGCGCGTATCCTAGATTAAGGCCCTCATGGCGGAGCCTCCGTATATGATATTCTACAAGGACAAGGTCCAGCTGCGACCCGATCCAGCTTTCCTGCCTAAAGTGGTGTCCCCTTTTCACGTCAACCAGAATATCTTCCTCCCGATGTTCTGTCTGAAGCTTCTCTCCACCAAAGAGGAGAGGTGGCTACACACTTTGGATGTCCAGGGCACCCTAGTGTTCTACCTGGAACGTATCAAAGCCTTTCACAGGTTGACCCTACTCTTTATGGCAACAGTAGATAGGATGAAGGGCCTCCTGGTGTCCTTGCAGAGGATTTCAAATTGGATCACCACCTGCATCTGGACCTGTTATGAGCTGACTTAGGTCGAGCTGCCACCTGTAGTGATGGCCCACTCTGCTAGGGCTCAAGCATCCTCGGCAGCCTTCTTGGCGCATGTCCCTGTCCCAGATATCTGCAGAGCCACAATGTGGTCTTTGGTACGCACACATTCACGGTGCACTACGTCATCACCCAGCAGGCAAGAGACCATGCTGGATTTGGCAGAGCTGTGTTGCAGTCGACATGTCCATGAACTCCTGCCCGCCTTCGGTGGTACTGCTTGGGAGTCACCTACAATGGAATGGATATCAGCAGGCACTCAAGAAGAAAAGACAATTACCGTTTTTTCGCTACTGGTGTTCTTTGAGATCTGTTGCTCATGTCCATTCCATGACCTGCCCTGCTTCCCCGCTGTTGGAGTTTCTGGGAAGAAGGAACTGACGGTGGGGGGAGCCGGCAGCACTCCTTATACCGTGGCATACTCACGCCACTCCAGAGGGCACCAGAGCCAGTCCCCTATGGATACTACTGACGGAAAAACTTCTGGCACTGATGCATGTGGTGAGCACACATGCCTACCGTGGAATGTCCATTAGCAACACACCACTAAGAACACCAGTTACGAAAAAAGGTAACTGTCTTTTTTGGTTTAATCATAACATCCCCTTAGTGTTTTTTCTCCTAAATTACTGATACATACACTCAATTTTTAATGCCAGTTTAATATAGTTATTGGTACTGGAATAGTAGAATACACCTGTTATGAAGAGGCCAGCCTTTTTTTGAAAAAATACCTATATATCCCACTAGTGATGTCATTTACTGAAACATACTTTTGCTCAATCTTTTTTCTGATATGCCTGACAGTCATATTGAGTTCAATGCAGATGTTTAATTGGAATTATTTTTTAGACTCTGATAAATGGGTCAAAATGTAGGGCAGGGTTTTTTGGTTTTGTTTCTTTTTAACTAGTCTAGTAATACTCTTACTACTTAATAATCTTCAGAGTTGGGATCTTTATGTTAGTGACAGAAAATTAGCAGGGACTTTATTTTTTTTATTTATTGTTTTGTATTTACTACCTAGTTAGATCCACATTTTTCCTCCTTCCTATTGGTCTTTGGAATTTAGTGATTTTGGGAGATAGTCAAGAATTGAGCTCACAAGTTTTGTGTATCTAATAGTTTTAGCTCCCTGTACCTTGTAAAGCATGTTTCAGGATTCACAATCCAGAATTTAGTTCTAGCTGCTTTAAACATTTTGGGTTTGTAAAACTGGCACAAGATTCCAAAAATGCGCCATGGGAACAATAAGCTTGGAGAAATCCAAGTAAATAATCTGTCTGAAGCACTAAACCTGTATGGAGCCAATAGTATATGTTCTAGAAACTACCTAATCTAACCATTTCTTTTGCAGTAGGTGTTAGGAATCTGTAACCTCAGTGTAAATTGATATAACTCCATTGACTTGAGTGGGTGCTCTGCTGATTGATAACCAGCTGAGGATCTGGCCTTATGTTTCTTCTCCAACAAAGTACATCGGGGTGGGCAAACTTTTTGGCCTGAGGGCCACATAGGGTGTGAAACTGTATGGAGGGCCGGATAGGGAAGGCTGTGCCTTCCCAAACAGCCTGGCCCCTGCCTCCTATCCACCCCCTCCCACTTCCCACCCCCTGCCTGCCCCCTTCAAAACCCCCGACCCATCCAACCACCCTCTCCTGGGACCCCCGCCCCTAACCGCCCCCCAGGACCCTACCCCCTGCCTAACCCCCCCCTCCCCGTCCCCTGACAGCCCCCCCCCCCAACCTCTGCCCCATCCAACTGTCCCCTGACTGCCCTCCGGGACCCTTTGCCCCTTATCCAATGCCCCGGCCCCTTTACCATGCTGCTCAGAGCAGCATGTCTGGCCGCTGTGCCGGAGCCAGACATGCTACTACGCTGCCCTGCATGAGTGCACAGCCCCGCTGCCCAGAGCGCTGCCTGCAGGGAAGGGGAGCTAGCCTCCCGGGCCAGGAGCTCAGGGGCCAGGCAGAACGGTCCTGCGGGTCGTAGTTTGCCCACCTCTGAACTACATAGTTGTTCAAAACCTCACACACCCTTAATTAGAATCCCTGATTTTCTGTCAAACCATGCAAATGTTTAGCTGTCCACTGCCTACTCTGAAGTTGCACTGACACATGGAGATTCTTGGAGTAAAATCCTGGCTCTGTTGAAGTGAATGGGAGTTTTGCCATTGACTCAGTGAGGCCAGGATTTCACCATTTATCTGTCATCAATCTGTCCTGAGGTTGCAACAGCAGAGTTCCATAAACGTTTGCCATATTCCAGATGTCTTTTGCTGACCTATCCCCGTCCTAGCAATTTACAGCATGGCTCATATTAGCAAAAGTTGTATGTAAAGCTGGACTCCTATTTATGGACTCTACATACTAAACAGTGTACATAATCAAACATGATGATGTTGTAACCCGTGAGATTTTAGGGTTCCCTGCTCTGAGGGAATAGAAAGCAGCAAAATAATAGAAATACGGCTTATTTAAATAAAATGTTAATCAATTACTTTATTCAACAAGCTAGTTCTAAAAATACAAATTAGCAAAACCTGAAGACTTAGAAGAAAATAGATGTATCCTTCATATATATTGGAATAAATCTTTATAGAACTTCTTTCTTTAAGTAGGAGAGAAAACTGTATGTGTATATATATATCAACTATGTAGCATTTTTATATGTAATATAACTTTGTACAAAATATTTTTAGTATGTTTTTGTGGGAGAAACTATTTAATGCTGAATTTATTCTTTTTCCCCTTGTAGTGGAGGGGGTGAAAGAACAATTGAAACTCTCCTTAGAAAACAAGAGTGGCATGGTGCAAACAGGTGAACTGACAGTTGTGCTCGATGGTCTGGTTGTTGAACAAGAATCTCTTACAAACTGCAGTTCACCAGCAGCCAGTAAGTTCAATTAGTAAAATAAAACCCACATGTTTTTGTTAACATTTTAAAAGAAGGAAAAATCTATTTAATGTATTTCTTGTTATTTAGTAGAAGTCCAGCAAAATGGTGATGCTGTACACGAAAACAGAGAAATTTTGGCAAGAACTACATCGAGGTTGGAATTATTATTTTTTACTTTTTGCAGTATTTGAAGTGTAATGGCCATTGTTTCATTTACAATTAGATAATTGAATTTTGCACAGGTGATCAGTTTTGACTTTCAGGCCTTAACTACTTCAGGCCTACACTCCCATGGACTCTGCTTACTGTGTTGCTTGAGTAAGGAAGGATTGCAGCACCAAGGGCCCAGTGCTGTAAATTTGCACGAGTAAGTTTATTCATGCAGGTGTTCCATTGCGTTCATGTGGATTACTTAGGTTAGGGGAATGTAGGTGTTCAGCTTACATCTCTTTTCTTCTGCTGGTAGTCGGGGAGCTTGTGCCTTCTTCTCCAGGTAAGTGGTCAACCTCTTGATGGTTTAGTTTTGTCTTCTGGCTAAACGTATAAGTCCATCAGACCAAACATAGAGTCCACCTGACCTTGAAATCTGTGAAGTACTGCAGTGGAGCTCAGTGGACCAGGAACTGTGAATGTGGTATTGAGTGCTGAGCTCCTTGCTACCTACTGCTGCTGTGTAAGAGCCAGGCATAGTGCCTCTCTACTACCTTCCTCCTTTAAAATGCTATTGCAAGAGAGGAGGAAGAAAAGGGCCTGTGTCCCCCATCCTGTCTTCTCTTCTCTGCCCCCCCCCACCTCCATTAGCTCTCTTTCAAGGCCTGATCTTGTGCACATTGAAATCAATGGAAGGACTCCCACTGATTTCAATGGTTATTGAATCAAGCCTTCAAATCAAAGAACTTGCCCACCTAAACCTGAAATGGGGAAGAGAGCCTTGAGTTTAATGTACAGAGACCCACAAGCTTCATCTCTCTATTTATTATGTAGGAGAACAAAGGGTTGCCAGGAGAATAATAGAAACAGGGCACACCTGGTCCTCAAACAGCAGTAGAAGAGAAGCAAGGAGTTCATTACTAAAACTAGCTTTATTGTTACTGGACCACCCAGCAACCTTGCAGTGCTTTCCTTACCCTGCTACTTTCCTTCCATGTGTGTGGTTTTGCTCCCTCTCAGCTGCTACAGATCTGGGGGATGGACACAAGTCGTTCTTCCCTGCCCATCCCAGGTACTGTCCTCTTTATATGTGGAGGTTTGCTTCTGGATCCCCTTGGCCACTAAATATTATTGGGGTGAACACTCAAAATATTATTCCCCAGTTTTCTCTAACATCTTGGGGACTATAATTTTCTTCCTCCTCCTTCCTTTCCACAAAATATTGCCCCAGATTTTTTGAAGATGGGTCAGCTATACCTTCACAGTCCTCCATCCTGATCTCTCTGGATGTTTGATCTTTGCGGCAGCAGTATTCCCTTCTCTTCAGACAATTCATTTTGTCCCTGATGCTGCTTTTGTACCTGGCCATACCCTGTTGATGTATTAACTTAGCTTACATTAAAAAGGAAAATTGCTAATAACACTTGAAAAAAAAATTCTAACATAATTTTAAAAATAACATTCTGATTACAAAGCTCTTCACTGAAAAATAAATACAGCTTAGCTTCACTGATTTAAAAACAAACCAATTCTTTTGACCTTGGTTTAGCTGTATTCTGTTGATGCCAGCAAAATCAAATAAGATTTCTAGGTTAGAATAAAAAATAACCAAAAACAAAAGCTGTCTCTGTTGTTGTTTGGTTTATCAGTAACTTAAGTGAATTGATGTTTGCTGTTTTATAACAAAGAAATGTGTGTTTTAACTATTCTCTGCTAAGCCTCCTTTTCTGTGACTTGGTCTGTGACAGCACAGGCACTTTGGGTCTTCCTTCCTAACCCTAGTAGGCAGGATGATTAACCACCTTGTCCAGCATTTTTCTGTCTCTAGGGCTCCCTCATCTGCTTGATTCCTGCTTCAGCGCAGCATGCATGAAGGTGACCTCTGTGACTGCCATTTGTCACTTGAGCAGAAAAGGCTAAAACAATATTTAGGGGTCAGGAAGAGTGGAACAGCATCTCAACATATGGTGTTTTCCTGTAGGGGTCCTTAAGTATTTATTTGCCTCTTACTAAGAGAAATCTTTGCTACCTCATTTGTTAGACGGTAACTACTCTGAAGTAATTTCTAGAGATGTGACTGACAAAAGCAGCTGTTCAGCATGCCTAGAGGAGGAAAGAAGCTCATCTGACAAGATGGGGTTCTCTCCAGAGAAGCAGCTGCGGCCATTTTTTGGGAACTCTAGTAGCCAAACTAGCCTGCCCAACTCAGTTATAATGCCATATTGGGGGACAAATAAATGGAACTTAAAAATCCAGTTGATAAGTATCTGAATTAAAATTACAAAAATAAGCCCCCATGTCCCCATAATTGGTTTAGTTTTACTTATATGAACAGTTATCTTCACTCACCAACGGAATAATATTGAAACCTTGCCACTGAGTTTACTTTGTTGTCTTTTGTATTAGATCTTTAAGCATGTTTCAGTGTAGGCCTTTGTTTTCTATAGTTCTATTTAACATACTGTTTGTATTAATCAAAATCCTCTTTATTTTGCCAAGATCTACCTGTGACATGTCTAATGGAATAGACAATCAAGCTCCTTCAAACTCTGTAATACAGAATGCATTCTGTATACATGCTGTTAATGGAGACAGCACTTCATCTCCTTCTCATGTTGCAGCCAGTCCCAAAAATACACCAGTACCAAAACCACTTTCAACCCAGCCTGCCAACAACAGTGGTAAGAATGAGCATGTTATAAAATGCTGTTCGATAAAGACTTTCTAGTTAATTAAAATCATGTAGTCCAACTTCTGATTGTTTATCTGCCTTTTACTATATACATCTGAGATAAAACCTGTAATATTTTCACTTCTGCATGATGAATATAAATCTTAGAATTTCTCCACTTCCTTGAGTCATTCCAGAACACATCAATTTGGAGAACAATATTTTACCTGTTTTATTTTTCTTAAGAGACATCTTGTCATCAAGTAAGGCCTCTGTGCCTGAACCAGACCATTGAATCATAACATAGATAGTCTAGAGGAAAGAGTCTGACTTCCTTTACTGGCTCATTTCAAAAATGCTTTTCTAGTGGAGGTGGGAGATAGTAAGTGGATTTCCTGACTGCAAAGAATTGGAAGTACGTTTCCCTACAAGAAGTGCTTTCCAACAAAAATCTGCAAAGATAGAAACAATGTTTGAGGACTTTACATTTCTCTAGTAGCAGGACCTGCTTGTGTCACTGTAGTTCAGCATTTCTGTTGCCATTTATATAACCTATTTTCCAGTTTTATGCAAATCAGGTAACGAATCTGCTCTGGGATGAAATATATTTTAGAATTCTCAGCCCAGGATCACTTAAAAGTGCTAATTATTTCTAAAGGGACATTAATTTTTAAATCTGATTTCCATCTGGAAATGTTGTTGTACTGACTATTGTTGCAAGTAACCCCTAAGAGTAATATAGTGGAAAAATATTAGAGATTTTTTTTTTCATTTTATTTACTTTGTGCATTTGAATGAATTTTACATATAATCAGTGTTTCCATTTTGTCAATGGTGCATGCCCTTCCTCAGGTCCCATGAAAGTGTGTCTGAGTAACAGGAACAAGTGAAGGTGAACAGACAGAAAGCAGTGGTGTTATTCTCGGGCTTTCCCAAAAGACCTTTATAAACATCACAGGGGAACAGAAAAACCCTCGGTTTTTTAAAGTTATTTAAAAAAACAAAACCATTCAGGACTTAGTATTTAAGGGGTATACTACGTAAAGGGTCCTCTATTAGAAAACAGATCTTAAAAAAATAAAGAAAATCCAAGTTGACTCTGTACCTTTAAGCTGAGGTCCAAATGTCATAGATACTATAAAATTTCATTTGCTTTCTTGTGCTGTTATTGCTAAATGAGATAAGGAACCTCTAAAGAGTGCTTAGTTGATACAGGAAGTGGAGTTGGTAGAAATCTCTCACGTCTGTAGTGAGTCATATTCTAGCATAGTGGTAGAAGATGCAGTTTTGCTGGATGTAACTGTTCCTGAGTTAGACATAAAATGGAGGTCCTTACTGCTTGTGGTATAAAATTAATTACAAGTGTTATTACAATATAAAAGGTAACATTTTGTCACTCTTAGACAGTGTTGGATAATAATTCCATAGAGATGCTGCCAAAATTCTCATTGAGGCAGATTCTCGGCTGATGTAAACTTTCATAGTTCTATTGTGGAGCTATGATAGCTGACACCAGCTGAACATCTGCCCCAATTATTTTACTACTGAGAGCTCCCTTTTCTCATCCCATTCAACTATTTTTGTGGGGGTTGAAATTCCTCTTTAGTTAATTAGTTGGGCTACTTTTAAGAAAAAGGTAATTTTAAAAAAAATTGGCAAGTGTGAAGGAAATTGGTGAAATTGTCTGATGATGTGAAAGATAAATATGCTATCTGAATTCTGCAGATCTAATTCTCTTGTGCAGCATGCATCACAGCAGCTGTGAGCTCATAACCATTAGGATATTTGTGATCATTGCAGCTATACTCTTGTGTCTTTGCAGATCCAAATGTTTGATATTAGGGTATATAAATAATTATATCTCATCTGACATCAGTTCCTTTCCTGATTCCTTGTGGGTCAATTGTGGCATTATTACAAGCCCTGTGTTAGGGGCAGCTCATTGTGCTGCTTTTGGAGAAGCCTGAAAGGGAGATTGACTTCCCCGATCACAGTCCCCTTCCCAGTTTTCCTGTTGTGCCAGGGAGAATGTATGCTGTGCCTCGTCTATACCTTTGCAGGATACAAACCCCAGTACTGCAGTTGTAGGTATGCTGCCAGGTGCATTGAGAGGGTTGAAGCCCCCTTCTCACTCCTGTCCAAGTAGGGGAGTGTAGTTATTCTGAAACGCCTTTGACTCCCTGCATGCTATAAATTGTGGCACAGTGAACGAGCAAAAAGGTGTTCCAAAAGCAACCTCTGCCCCTCATTTCTCTACCCAGGCTTTACATATGGGCCAGCTTAATTAGTCCCTCTACACATTAGCTGTGTTCCCTTGTGCATATGCACTCCTGCTAAGTTCTTTGTTACGTAATGTAATAACTTCCCACTTTCCTGGCCTGTATTTCTAGCCTTCTTGGGAAGATAGACTGGCATAAGTTAGATATAAGAAGTAGAGGGCAGATTCTGACTGATAATTTAAGGACAAACAGATGTAAAGCATTAAAGTGAATGTTGGTTTCTTAAAGAGGTGCTGTCACCTCATTTTAGACCCCAATTTAAAACCCAATCCTACACATGTGCATGTGAGTAAGGTTATAGGCATAAGCATTTGTAGTATCTGAACCTCAAATTTCCTGTAAATAAACTTGCATAAAATTTAACCTAAGTAGAAACATGTTAATGAAATTTTTAAAACCCTACACACAATAGATTTGAATTCAAAAGCATACCATTCCCATGCTGTGTTTGTGATCCAGATGTTGCAGAATTATGGTAGTGAACCATAGTGTGAAATTGACTAGAAAGTGACTATAAGCAAAAGTAAAATTGTCTTGTCTGTTTTTATTGTCTAAGCTTACACATAGTGCAGAAAATTAACAGACAGCACAAATGGTGAAAAGTAAAACAAATTCTTTTTTGAATAATCTAAGGTTTTAGTAGCACAGATGAAGGAATATTTTAAAATTATATATGAATTTTAACCTAATAGTGTCCATTAAACTTAGAATTTTCTGAATCAGGTCTTCATAGACTATCCTTTTGCACTAGTCACTGTACAAACACACAAAAATATACTTCCTGTTCTAGAGAGCTTATAAATTGAAGATCTTAAATCAAAATTCCTGTTGATGTGATAGATTGCTCTAACATGGCAATAATCCAGAAATGATACAATATTTTGATGTTGCATTTTATTATGTATGTGATGCATAATTACTAGATCACTGGATTTCTCTTGTGAATAGTAACTTTCAGTCTCTGTAACAGATCTACCAACATGAATAAAAAATATGCCAAAGAAAAAGTCTGTATTGATTTATGAAGTCAATATCTATAATTTCTATTGAGATCCTTTGGCTTAGCTACACCAGCATTGCCTTGTACATGAGCTTGATAAGCTTTTTTAAATTTTCTGGTTAAAAATGACTTATTGAAATACGACATACTGTAGCAGAATACAATGTCACATTTATGTGTAACTGAACAGAACAAAAAATTACATTAGTCTCAAGGATATAAATTACTATTTTTATTTTATAACATTAAACTATATAAACCCAAAATTGTAAGGTGGATGTAGTCAGATTTCATTATGATTTTGGGTGGAGGGAAGGCAAGGTTAATTTAATTTAAGTTGTGTATCGGTGCAGCTCTTAATATTTTACTTCGAAACCACTATAAGAAATCAGCAATTATTTTTGTAGTCTTATCCTCAGCCAAATATTTAATGAACTTCTTATTTGAACTGGAAGGATTCACAAGTAATTTTTAGGTCTACCATAATTAGGTTTTCTCAAGTTTCCTTTCCTGTTTTCTCACTTGCGGCAAGGGCAGTTTTGAAATAGTTTTTCTACTTAAAAGTTTTACAAGAACTGTTGGTGCTATTCGCTTCTACCAGACCACATTACCTTTTTCCTTTTGGCAATGCTTTCCTTTAGTAAGGAAAGGAGACAGGAGGTTCTGTTACCAGAAATGCAGATTCAGTAAGGGGAGGTCAGGAAGATCTTATTGCAGTAGTAAATTTTTACTTATATATTTTGCATTTAATGTGCTCTGCTGGGCTAACTAATTGATAAAAGAAAAAGTGGTGTCTGTAACCATTATATTAGCTTCTGCTTGTTTACCTGATAGGACATTTCCGTGTAGTTTCTACACAGGCAAAAATATGTATACCTCTAACAGCAACTGTAAAAAATATGATTCTTGTTCTATGTAGCTTGTGTTTGTCAGGTAAATACACATTTAACTTAATATATTTTTTAAAGGCTTGTGTTTTCATTATTAAATCCTTCGAAGAGGTGGATTTTTGTTTAATTGGCGAGTTAGTAATTTAAAAAAAATTTTAAATATTTTTTGGCAACAAAGCAAGCGGAATGAGCCCGGAAGATTATCCAAGTGTACATTAAACGCTGTTATCAGTTGTATCTTTCATACTCAGCCTTCTTTTATTCTTCCTTTAAAATTCTCTTACAATCTCACAGTGTTAAAGATTCTCTTTTAAAACCAATGCCACTTGGAAGTTTCAAGAGCAAATCATGCGTATGTTCCTTTGCGGACTGGAAGCAAGATGCCCACCCTCTGCTAGCTTACAGAGCACGTCTTACTATCCCACGTCTATTACAACCTGCCAGTAAACTGAAAAGTTACTACTACTTCAAGTGGCTCTTCATATTCCCACTTGTGAGCAAAAAAACGAGTGCAGTCTTAACAGAACCTTCTCCAAGCAATGCCTGTTAGAGCGCATATGTATCTCATCCTACTCCTCTCCTCAGCGTCTTCAAACATGCTGAGCGAAAGGCTGTATAAAGGCGCGCTGCATCCCCTACTTCCTCAGTTCTTCCAAAACCTGCACCAGGTCAAAGTGAACTGCCCTGGTCGTTCAGGTTAGGATTTTTTTCTCCTGTACTAGTGCCTTAGATAATTGTTGTTGTAGCATGTAGAGTTAGTTTAGTTTGAGAGTTTGTAGTTCTAGTTAGTTTAATTTTAAGTTCAGTTCTGAGTGATGGTGGAACTGAAGAAAAAGTAAAA